TGAGCTCAGGAGTTCAAGACTGGCCTGGGCAACATGGCAAAATCCTGTCTCTACAAAATATACAAAAATTAGACAGGTGTGGTGGCACATGCCTGTAGTCCCAGTTACTCAGGAGGCTGAGGTGGGAGGATCTTTTGAGCCCAGCAGGTTGAGGCTGCAGTGATCCCTGATCATGCCAAGGCAATCCAGCCCAGGCAGCAGAGACCGACCCTGTTTGAAAAAAAAAAAAAAATTGTGCATTCTTTTTTCACTGGGTCCATTTCATCTAGCAATGAAATCAACATTAAGGGGAGAAATTACTGTTCCTGTATGATAACCCACTTAAGTTCAAAAAGAAAACTTTATAAAGAATTCCTTTATAAACTGAACTGTATGTTCATGCATTGTAATTCCAGGAAACTAAAGAATATAAAATTACCCTGAAAAGCTAATGTGGAGCATTTCAGGGAAAAATCGCATTATAGTTTTATTATTGATATAAAAAAAACTTCAAATACTGTACAGTAAGGTGTGCTGTAGAACACTATAATACACCATTACTAATTATTCATTACTCAAATTTAATATATACAGCAATCACGAAATCAGAAAATAATGGGCAACAGCCAGTGCCTTAAGGGTGACATAACATCTATACTATTTTATTGAACAGTTAAAGCACTTGCTATTTTTCTAAATATTTACACTATTACTGCTTATTTTTACAAATTCTAAATATCATTTTCCTCCAAAAAGTATACTTTCCAGTTCTTGGCACTAATTCTTAGTCAAATAAGCCTGAAAATACTGATAACCTATTCAGTCTTTCATTGCTCTACCACAGGCATAAGGGCTCAGGATGGTATTTCTGCATCCTAAAGAAATGTATGCAATAGCTTAAAATTTTAAAAACTAAGTAATTGATAGTCACAAGCAGATAACATCAACTAAACTTTTTTCTTTACTAATTTTCCTTTTCTTTTACAAGAAAATAATCATTAATATACTACAAAAGCATGTAGTCTCCATAATTAAAAAATTTAAATGTCAGATATACAAGTAATGGCATTTTCTCCAATAATTCACAATTTTTACAATTTATGCTATTTTGGAACAAACATTAAAATTCCACGATTTAAGTATCATTAAATATTAACTGAAACACTTAGCATCTCAAAGAATTATCAAGAATGGTAGAACTTGCAATTAACTCTATAACTTACATTGGTGATATAGTTCCCCTTTATTTATTAAATATACATTCTACTGAGGAATATTTTCATGTGAATAGCTCTGGTTTGAAAAACTAATTTCTTATATTGTGAAGAGCCTTAAGGTTGTACAACTTTGTTATATGATAACCTTGAATGGTAGGATACATTTACTCAACTTAGAATAGGAAGCTATTATTATAAATGGCCATTTTTAATTCACATTAAGTGGAATTTAATCCAATTTTGCAAAGGCTTTGTTTTAGAAAAGTCTTAAGAGGGAAACCTTTCTTTGAGAACCATAAAACTCAAAATCTGTGCTGCAGTATTTTAAGTGTGGGCCAATTGAAATTACTGTTGAAAAATGAAAACAAAACTGTATTGATATTCTGAAATAAACACTTTATGATGTTGTCACTATATTGACCAGTTGAAGTGTAATTAATGACAGAAGTAAATTTTATACCTAAAGGTTAGTTATTAGTGAGGTCTACATATTTAGAGTTATTCAGTAGCAGATAGTATTGGTAGGTAACTACATAAAACAATACTTTTGTAAATTTTGCATTTAGTAGCTAACATGTGATGTCAGTACAATTCTCAAAAACCTGTCAATGAGTAGTATGAGTTGCTAGCAAGTGATCTTCCCTGAGGTAAGAGACCATATGCAAAAGTCAGTGTTCATCTCCAATGAAGTTAAGACACTTAAAAATAATGGCAATAAGGACCTGTGGCCAGGAATTATGGATGCATTTCAGATTGATATCTTAATTGCAAGTAGTAGGCTTGACTAAAAAAACAAACTAAAAAATCACTGGAAGACATAAGAGTCAGAATCAGTCAACAGCATTTGCTAACTTTGTCAGGCCTCTACCCTAACATTTTCCAATAAAATATTTGAAACAGAGTAAAGGGGGAGAAATGGGCTTGCTCTTTAAGTAGTTCCTGAGTAACCATTCTCATGGAGTTAATTATAATTCTATCTTAATATATGGCAGCATCTTATTTTCTTCAGTTTACACCAATTTCTCATTACTGGTATTCTAGATATATACTATCTTCAACAATATTTGGACTTTGGGCCATCAACTCAAATTTGGTATGATTACCTATATAATGGATCATTGAAGAAAAAATTTACAACTTTATTTAAATGTTTAGTGAAGAACTGCAAACAGAATTGTAGGACTGCATTTTAGTTATAATGTTACATCCAAGGCTAAAAAAAATATTTAACTTAAGATGTCTAGCTTGCACTCCAAGATGTGGCTATATCACAAATTATAGTACTAGAAAAATAACCATTCTATAGTTATATTTTTGGTTATGAAAACCATATGGAAGGACAAAGGATGATATTTAAAAACTTAAAAGAAACCCTATTCTAAAACTTCTTTGTGAGGATACCTGGCCTACTTCTCAAAAACCATCAATCACCCCAACCAAATGTTCAGCTGATTTGAAATAATTTCAAGAAATTTAATCACTTATCAGAACTGAGCCTTTTATTCTTTTATCAAGGGAGAACCCAAACTGTTATTGTACTATTCATACCTAACTGGCTTTTAAATACATTGCTGTAGCTAGAGAAATTAACAAAGTTGTCAGAGATTAAGCCCATTTTGTAATATTCACATATGCATTCTAATTTACACTAAATGTAAGAATAGGGAGATAAAGTTTCTGATATTTTATGTTAATGCTATGAGATATTTGTCAGTTATCAATGAAGAAAATATTTGTTAAAGAAAAGATTATTATATCATTTTACATGAAAGCAGTGCATTTTTTGATTAAACAGTTTTCCTGTATTTAAATCACCCCCAAAAAAGTTCCAGTGGCTGAAAAAGCCAAAAATAATTATAGTGGTTAGTGAAGTGATATTTGTAATTTGTAGTTTAATACACAGAAGCCACCTTTACTAAGCAGTAAACAGTATTCGGTAGCTACAGCTCTTACTTTATGCAAAACTACTGCACAACATAAAAGTTTAAAAATTTCCTGCTGTTTTGATAGGGAGAAAATGCTTGAAAGTAAATTTAGGATGAAGATAAAATATAAAGACAAATGTGATGTGATAAAACTAACCCAAATATATATTTTGCTCAGATATACCTGTAAAATGTCTAGATTCTCCATTCTTTGCTTAAATAGAGTAGTTCGTTTAACAGGTAGATTCAGTTAGAGATACTTTCACAGAAAGATGACCAAAATCTGCCTTATCTGGAAACACAAGTTAAAGTACTATCTATATCCCTTATGAATTAACAGGCAGAGATTTTTCAACATCTGATAAAGTAGTTTCTGACATACATTTTCTTAGAATTACACACACAGTTCTGCATCTGTTACATATGCAAACAGAGACAGCCAGGCTTTGAATGCTCTAGGTAAGAGATTGTATTAACATACATTTTGTCTTTCAGCCATTCAAATTCAACTTAATTACAGTGAACAGAGGAAGAATAGGGGTTGAAATGTACATTTCAGAATACAGATTTGCAGAATAAAATAAAATAGTGCAATACCAATCTCAGGATAAACACTCTTTTGATGTCTTTAAGAAATAAGCATGAAAGCTGCTTCTCAAGGAAACTGGCACTAAGGATTTGATGAATACACTAAGCAAATGCCCAGCTGATCAAGGTATGATGCAGTAAAATTTGCATCTAAACCCAAGTGAAGCCAACAAATAAACTCTTAAGGATTTTATTTTATTTTATTTTTTTAAATAAAGACGGGGTTTCACCATGTTGATCAGGCTGGTCTTGAACTCCCAACCTCAGGTGATCCACCCCCCTTGGCCTCCAAAGTGCTTGGATTACAGGCATGAGCCACCGCGCCCGGCCAACTCTTATGGACTCTAAGGAAAAAAAAAGAAAACATTTTTGGCTCAAAGGGGCACAAATATACTTAGCATATACAGGCTTAAATACCACTGATCAAAATTGTAGAACAATTAACTCATTCATAAAGATAAACTCTTATTTATAATTCTCTGTGAATCTGACAAATGCTGAAAATTAGAGATTAACTACTGCTACCATTATTTCTTTTTCTACCACACTTTGCAATCAACTTTTCCGCAAGATTAAAAAAAAAAAAAAATCAGGTGGTTCTTGACCAAGCCAGGAATCAAAAATAATGGTAACATATTAATAACAGAGCACACACAATTGGCTGTGTTGACTCAGACAGCAACACAACTGAATCACATTGACCTTATCAATCCAGAAGAGATTTTTCCCCAACCTTGCACAAATCAGCAAAATGTTAATCATTACATTCTATTTTCAAGATATTTTTGCCAAGAATACATATCTCTATGAATGTGTTTACGTTCACGGAAACATCTGCATCCCACTGTCAAATAATTTTATGAATTTTAAGACACAATTTAGTTCAGATAAACTTCAAGTTTACATAAACCTTTTAACACTAATATGTGAGATGGTTACCTTGATGACATCAACATTAGCAAAGTCTCATTTCCCCTCCATTTCTAGCCTTTTCAGAATCAAACATATTTAGTAAGAGAATTTTCATGTTGGAAATATTAAGACTTTCATGGAACTAAAATTACAAAGAACTGCCAATGAACCACATATATGGAAGAAAGTCATCTCAGCAGATCTAATAGCTAATTTATAGAAATTCAGAGCCAGCCTGGGCAGCAGTATATTAAAAGCTATTGCCAATCACACACTTGCTATCATGCACTGAATAACAAGATATAATTTTTGAATTATATACGTACAAGATTTTTAATGACTAATCAAGTTACGTGGCCCAGCCAACAAATATTACATATTCACAATAAACATTCTGCCTTTATTAGCCTCTAATTAAATCAAGAGTGATCCATTGGCTCAGTTGTGTTAGTCATCTCAGCATCTTGACTATCCATCTCTTCAAGCTCCTCCATGGAATTTCCCTTTTGTGCTTTTGACCTTGTGGCAAATGCTGCTCCCAGTGCATCTGCTACACAGCCATCAGTTGTTTCTATATTCAAATTTTCAGTACCACCGGTTAAAGGAAAAGATTCAGGCAAGCCAGTCCCAGACTTTGCAGAAGAACTCACAACTTCTATTTTCCTTTGAGGAGCATCAGATGGTGACTGCTCTGTACTCTGATCCCGCAAGTGTCTGTCCATTGAAGCCTGAATAGAAGAAACCATTTCCTGCAATTTTTTTCGCTGGGCCTCAACCAAATCAGGATCAAGCTGCCTGCCGTCTCTCATTGTTACTACTCCAGGAGCTATTCGAATAAGCTCACTATTACTAGAAGAAGCTGAGAATACAGAAGGCTCTGTTTTAGAGGAACTACTACTAAAGTCTGTCCCTGTATTATGCTTTCTTACAACTGAAGTTTCCCTAGCTCTCGGATCAAGGTGTGGATTACCAGATGCAGTTCCTAAAGAATGCCCTTTTCCCTGAAAGGCAGTTACATTATGAAGTTGCTCAGATTTCTTTTTTACTACTCCACCACTACCTAGTTTTAAGACCCCATGTGAAGGACTTGATTCCCTACTTCTTGTAGTAGCCTCTGCTCGAACCTGACTTACAGCCTCTTTAACTAAATCTTCAACATCAGGACCAATGGGGAAATGTCCTGCAGCATCCACACACAATTCCAGTCTATCTTCAGAAGCATTATAGACAAAGGTTTTGCCAGGCAGATGTGGAAAAGTACAATGCTTGCCATCAGCCATACCTAAAAAGGGGGAAAAGATATTTAACGTATTAAAATCTTAATGTATTAGCAAAATTGTAGTAAAGACAATTACAGTTAAAATAGTGAATTTTAAATAACAACTTACAGGTAACAGCTGTCAAAACAAAATCATTAGAAAAGAATTTACTGTATTACAAAAAAAGAACCATTACCATAGACCCTAAAGTAGTTCTCCCCAGAGATCTTTTTTTTTTAAAAAAAATCATCCTATTAATAAAGTTAAGAATGGGGCTTCAGACAGGGCAATGGCTCATGCCTATAATCCCAGCATTTTGGGAGGCAGAGGCCTGTGGTGTCAGGAGCTAGACTGGCTAACATGGTTAATCCCCATCTCAACTGAAAATACAAAACATTACCCAGGTGTGGTGGCGGGTGCCTGTAATCCCAGCTACTTGGGAGGCTGAGGCAGGAGAATCACTTGAAACTGGGAGGCAGAGGTTGCAGTGAGCTGTGACTGAGCCATTGCACTCCAGCCTGGGCAACAAGAGTGAAACTCCATCTCAAAGAAAACAACAACAACAACAACAAAAGAATGGGACTTGAGGCCCAGGTGCAGTGGCTCATGCATGTAATCCCAGCACTCTGGGAGGCAGAGACTGGTGGAGGATCACCTGAGGTCAGGAGTTCAAGACCAGCCTGGCCAACATACTCCATCTCTACTAATAATACAAAAAAAAAAAAAAAAGCCAGGCATGGTGGAATGCTCCTGTAGTCCCAGCTACTCAGAGGCCGAGGCAAGAGAACTGCCTGAATCCAGGAGGCAGAGGTTGCAGTGAGCCGAGATTGTGTCACTGCACTCCAGCCTGGGTGACAGAATGAGACTGGGTCTCAAAAAAAAAAAAAGGTGGGGGGCTTGAAACAAACAGCTGAGCTATAAGGAAAACACATGTAAATGAATAAAAAAATACGTTTTTATTACTAAAATTCAAATTATAAACTTTGCCAAAACAGCCATGAAGGCAAAGTGAGGTATACCTAACTTGTTGTACAGTGTGTTGAACTAAAAATCAAAAGTCATTCTATTGAATTGCAAAATACCAGAAAGGTGTTTTCACAGTGTGCCGTAAGTATGTATCTTTCACAAATATAAAAAAATATGAGCTTTCGGCTGGGCGCAGTGGCTCACATCTGTAACTCCAGCACTTTGGAGGCCAAGGTGGACAGATCACAGGGTCAAGAAATTGAGACCATCCTGGCTAACATGGTGAAACCCTGTCTCTACTAAATATACAAAAAATTAGCTGGGCGTGGTGGCACACACCTATAGTCCCAGTTACTTGGGAGGCTGAGGCAGGAGAATCGCTTGAACCGGGGAGGTGGAGGCTGCAGTGACCTGAGATTGCACCACTGCACTCCAGTCTGGGCGACAGAGCAAGACTCTGTCTCAGGAAAAAAAAAAAAAAAAAAAATATATATATATATATATATATACACACACACACACACACGTTTTATTAAAAATATATAAATATATATATATTTTTAAATAAGATATCCAATAGTTAAATACCTATTCAATTAAATTCCTTTAAAATAATTCTTATTCATTTCTGGTAGGCCAGAACCACCCAAGTAAGCCTGGGTTATGGATGCTCCTCACTAGGCTCACTGCTATTTATTTCTCCTGATAATGCACTAATGCTGTAGCAGCAGATAAAAACTTAAAACTTCTTTTATTTTCTAGTCAAGGAGTTGGTCTCACTACAGGGTATTTAAAAATTTTATACTTGTTTCAGCCTGCATATTTTTTAAAAATCACGTGTTTTTAAAAATCCACTCCTTTACACTTTAAATGTGTCAAAGTATACTCCACGTACATGACAGTTAAGGGTTTTCCAATTTACAAAATTATATGCTTTCTATTTTGATAAAAAAAGATAAAGAACTTTTTATAATATATGGTACATAGTAATATGTTTATGGCAAAATATAAAGGCAAAATGCAAACTAATTTTGCTACAGAAATTCAGAGAGGAAGGATAATGAATAAATCAGAAATGCTTTGTGGGCAATTAGGCATTCTCCAGTTTTACAGGATATTAAGAATAGTTATTCCTTCCTTGAAAAGTGCTTCAGTGGTTCTAATTTATCTCTCTAAGAATATTCCAAATAACCAGAGAAAATAACTCAACTGCAAATGAATAAATAACATATATTAATTTCAAATAAACATTAATTTCAATGGTAGATAAAGTATCAATTAATAAAAATCCAAGTAGAATTTCCTCTTGACACATTTTCAGCAGAGATAACTGACAAAAAGAGACTGGCAAAAGTTGAAGTCTTGAGATGCGGTCTAAATACTGCTTTTCTGGGTACACCTGGAATCAGTTTATTGGCTACCAATCCCTGTTCTCAGAGATCTATACACTATAGCTCAGGAAACAAAGGTAGCAAAGAAGAGAATTTTATAAGGCCAAAACTGCCTCAAGGCAAAGCTTTTAATATCCATCTGAGTAGATAACATCTATGGAGCCTTACTGTGTGCCGGGAACTAACATAGACTCTGATGATTTTAAAATAAAATACCATAATTCTTAGAAGACAGATACAAACAGATTATTATAACACAATTGGGTAAGTATAATGATGAGCATATTACTCATTTCACTCAATTATTTAAGAATTAAATGAAAAAACATTTAAGCACATTAAAAACATTAAAACATCGAAGCACATACCACAGTACCTAGTATCAATCAGGTAGTGAATATGTTTTAATTCTTCTATTAGAGCAAAATGGTTTTGTGGCCAGGTATGGTGGCTCACAACTGTAATCCCGGCACTCTGGGAGGCCGAGACGGGCAGATCACTTGAGGTCAGGAGTTTCAGACCAGCCTGGCCAACATGGTGAAACCCAGTCTCTACTAAAAATAAAAAAATCAGCCGAGTGGGGTGGCATGTGTGCCTGTAATCCCAGCTACTGGGGAGGCTGAGGCAGGAAAATTGCTTGAACTCAGGAAGCAGATGCTGCAGTGAGCCAAGATGGCACCACTGTACTCCAACCTGGGCAACAGAGCAAGACTCCATCTCAAAAGAAAAAAAAAAGGTGTTGCATTCCTTTCCAGATTGCTACTGTGGTTCTTTCTCTTGGCTATCCCTAGAAAGAGTCGTAGTTCCACACATGTTCATCGCAGTATTACTTACAATGAAACAATGGAAAAAATCTAAATTTTCAAAAAGAAATTATTAAGTAAATTATTTCCTAGCTACTTGATGGAAGTATATGCAGCTATTAAAATTTAGATAAATAGGCCAGGAGCAGTGAGCAGTGGCTCACACCTGTAATACCAGCACTTTGGGAGGCCAAGGCAGATGGATCACGAGGTCAGGAGTTCAAGACCAGCCTGGCCAACATAGTGAAACCTAATCTCTACTAAAAATACAAAAATTAGCCAGGCATTGTGGCACACGCCTGTAGTCCCACCTATTCAGGAGGCTGAGGGAGGAGAATCACTTGAACCAGGAGGCGGACATTGCAGTGAGCTGAGATTGCAGCACTGCCCTCCAGCCTAGGCAACAAAGCAACATTCTGTCTCAAAAAAAAAAAAAAAAAAAAAAAAAAAAATCAATGGATATAGTTTAAATACAATACAAATACTGTTGTGATACTTTTAAGTATTGTTTAGAATTTTTTTGGCATGTATAGAGAGATTGCTTAGGTTTTATATATTCCTTTGAATTTTAAGAAGCAAGGCACATTAAAATGTCTCTATCACATATCAGCAATTTGATTACTAATATATGCTAATGATATGTATACTAGTACTTATAGTTATTCTTTACATTAAAAAACTGGAAACTACCCAAAAGCTCATCAGCAGAACAATGAATCGTGTTAAAACAATACAACAGAATACTATGCAGCAGTGAAAATGAATATAGATGAACTCAATAACATGGATATATCTGAAAAAGTGTTGCTAAACTAAGCAAGTCAGCCAGGTGTGGGGCTCATGCCTGTAATCCCAGCACATGGGGAGACTGAGGCAAGTTGACATACTTGAGCCTAAGAGTTTCAGCCTGGGCAACATAAGGAGATCTTGCCTCTACAAAAAATTTAAAAAATTAGCTGCCGGGTGCGGTGGCTCACGCGTGTAATCCCAACACTTTGGGAGGCTGAGGCAGGTGGATCACGAGGTCAAGAGATCGAGACCATCCTGGTCAACATGGTGAAACCCCATCTCTACTAAAAATACAAAAAATTAGCTGAGCATGGTGGTGCGTGTCTGTAATCCCAGCTACTCATGAGGCTGAGGCAGGAGAATCACCTGAACCGAGGAGGCGGAGGTTGCGGTGAGCCGAGACCGTGCATTGCACTCCAGCCTGAGTAACAAGAGCAAAAACTCCATCTCAAAAAAAAAAAAAAAAAAAAAAAATCAGCTGGGTATGACGACACATTCCTGTAGTCCCAGCAACTTGGAAGGCTGAGACAGGAGGATCACTTGAACCTGGAAGGTGGAGGCTGCAGTGAGCTATGATCATACCACTGTGCTCCATCCTGAGATTAAAACCCCATCTCAAAAACAAAACAAGGCCGGGCGCGGTGGCTCAAGCTTGTAATCCCAGCACTTTGGGAGGCCGAGGCGGGTGGATCACGAGGTCGAGAGATCGAGACCATCCTGGTCAACATGGTGAAACCCAGTCTCTACTAAAAATACAAAAAATTAGCTGGGCATGGTGGCGCGTGCCTGTAATCCCAGCTACTCAGGAGGCTGAGGCAGGAGAATTGCCTGAACCCAGGAGGTGGAGGTTGCGGTAAGCCGAGATCGCGCCATTGCACTCCAGCCTGGGTAACAAGAGCGAAACACCGTCTCAAACAAAACAAAACAAAACAAAAAACAAAACCGTATCTGCTGGGTGAGGTGGCTCACACCTGTAATCCCAGTGCTTTGGGAGACCAAGGCGGGTGGATCACGAGGTCAGGAGTTCAAGATCAGCCTGGCCAACATGGTGAAACCCCGTCTCTACTAAAAATA